CATCATCACCTACTACCTCATAATCATGAAGTCTTGTTGGAAGAACTCTATTTCTTTAAGGTCGTTGGCTTGTTTCAGCCACAACCTCTTCAACTTCGACTGTTTCTGGAATGTCAGCAATCGCTTCTACTTCGACTTCGACTGGATTCTCAGCAATTCTTTTGACTTCGACTTCATCAGTTTCTTCGTTAAAATTGGAGCTCGTCAATGGCTTGTTAATTGAATTACTAGAATTCCAACCCTAGGAAGATTTTCATCAATCATAATATCTCGACTTAACACAATCTTCTGATTAATTGGATGAATAGCCTGTATACACCAGTTTTATGATATTCTACCAAAATTATAGGTTCATTCTTGTCATCAAGCTTCCTTCTTCTCGCATCAGGAACATGCTTGTAACACATAGAGCCAAACACCTTCAAATGACTCACTGGTGGTCGTTTTCCACTCCATACTTCTTTAGGAACCTTGATCTTCAATATCTTGGTAGGACACTTGTTCAGGATATAAACTATAGTCGAAACAACTTCACCCCATAAATATTTTGGAAAATTCTTTTGCTTCAGCATGCATCTTGCCATATCCAATATGGTTATGTTTCTTCTTTCTACAATTCCCTTATTTTAAGGGGTATAAGGAGAAGTTACCTCATGATCAACACCATGTTCTGCATAGAATTTTTCAAACATCTTAAAAGTGTATTTTCCACCTCCATCTGTTCTCGGAACTTTGATCCTCTGCTCACTCTGGTTTTTTACAAGCATCTTGAATCTCTTAAATATTTAAAATACTTCTTCTTTTCTCTTGATCACATAGATCCACAAATTTTGACTAAACTAATCGACAAACGAAACAAAATATATGTTTCCACCAATGGTGTATTCTTTGAACGAACCACATACATATCAATGTACCACTTCGAGTATGCATTATGATCTCATTGGCATAGTTGAAACAAAAGATTTTTTGAACTGCTTTCCAACAAAACAACCTTCACAAATTTTTTCGATTATCTCAAGACTTGGGATACCAGATACCATATCTTGAGTAATTAGTTGATTGAGTGATCGAAAAATCAAATGTCCAAACATCAAATGCCACAACCAACTATCCTTTTATTTGGGAACAATTTTTAGACATTGTACTTCAGTCAAACTGATCATGGTCTTAAATGTCATGTTCTTCAACAGAGGAGATTTTAAGACCAAATTGTTCTTGGTGTCGAACAATTTTAAAACTTCATCTTTTATGACAACTGAGAAACCTTTTTCGACTAGTTGTCCAACACATAGAAAATTGCACTTTATTCCAGGTACATAGAACACATCTTTGATCATAGCTTTCCCTCCATTACTCATTTGAAAGATTATGTCGCCAGTACCTTCTACTTGCAACAAACTATTATCAGCATGTTTTACCCTGTTCTTCTTCAACTCGTCAAAGTTTGTCAACCACTCCTTTAGACCGGTCATATGGTTTGAGCATCCTGAGTCGAGAAACCAGATCTTGGATTCGACATGGTTATCTGCAACTGCAGTCATAAGCACCATACCACCTTCAGAATCATCTGAATCTTGGCGTGCAAGGTTCGGCCCTTCGTCCTTTCCTGTCGATACCTTGTCTTTTTTGTACCAACAATTCTTGGTTACATGACCCCACTTTTCACAGTTATAGCACTGCATACCTTTTTATCTTCTTGTTGTTTCGATAGTTTCCTCCTCCTCTTTTTGAGGATTCAGAAGCTCTATCTTCGACCTGATGCTTATGAGGGTTCGACCAAGACTTCTTTCCCAAAGTCTTATGAACATTACCTTTGAACTTGTTGGAACCAACATTACTTTTCCATGTTTGAGCTTGAAGTTCTTGTATCGAGTCCAGAACTCCTTTTCTTTCGACAATCTTTATCTCATGCGCCTTCAACGAACCAACCAAATCTTCCACTTTTAGGGTTTCAAGTTTGTTGGATTCTTGAATATCTACAATAACATGATCAAAGTGAGAGGTTAACATTCTCATTACCTTCTCAACTATCATCTTATCAGTTACGGTTTCACCACAACCCCTCATGAGATGGATGAGTTTTTGAACCTTCGACACATATTCTGTAACTCTTTCGTCTTCTCCCATTAACAACAACTCATATTGTCGATTTAATGTTTGTAACTTAACAACCTTGACCTTCTCACCTCCTTCGCAATACTTCACTAGAATATCTCATGCCTCATTCATCGCTTCAGCTTGATAAATCTTGTCGAAGTTAGCAATGTCGACAGCCATCTGAATGCAATAAGCAACCTTGCAATCTTTCTTCTTAACTTTGTTGTGGGCTTTTTTCTGTTCATCGGTTGCATTTACAGCCAACGCAGGAACGCCGTTGGTAACCACTTTTAGGGATTCATGGAAGCCAAACAAGGATTGCATATGTTATTTTCATCGGATCCAATTTTTATCGTCATGCATTGGAAGAGAATTCGGAATGTCCTTATCACTAGCCATCTACGCAACGGTTAATTCACTTGCCCTGGAAACACAATCTCTGACGTAAAGTTCTTGAAAACTCAATCAAGAACAATAACCAGAAGCTCTGGATATCAATTTGTTAGTGTGTGAGGTACTTTTAGTGGGGAAAGAAAGAGAGAATAATAAAGGAAATAAAGATTCTATTATTCACTTAATGAATTGTACAAAAATAAGGATACATACTATGACTATTTATATACAACCCTAATTGAGCTTGGGCTAACACAACTTGGATTATATTTAAATATTAAATTTAATCAAATCTAATCTATTTTAATATTTCAACACACATGACATTTTCGTGACTTGGGTAGTAGTGATGTGTTTCTAGACACTGCTCACTATTTATTATATTAATTGTGTTATTTGATATAACTGTGAACGTCGCGAGAACCTATAGGGTCACCAAGTAAGGACATATTGAGAGGATAAAATAAATAAGTGAAGCTTATTCGATTGTGCAGTCTTGAAATGCACTAGCGTTAATTAGAGAAATGTGATACACTGTAAGGTGCAATGTGCTTAAGTGTTATATGAAACACCATAAGGTACAATTTACTTAAGTGAACTAAGGAACACCTTAAAATATGGTGTACTTAATTAAAAGACGAATTACCGTAAGATACAATGAACTTAAATAAAATACATTACACTGTAAGGTACAATATGCTTATTGGGATTTTTTAGGTTGTAGCTCACACAAGAAGTTCTATAAATGGAACCCTTGTGCTGAAGTATTAGTTGCTTAACCAAATTGAGTTTGGGAAACCCTAGACACACTTTCTTTTTCTCCCAAAGTCTTCATTCGTATCAACTAATACTGAGATTGAAGGCACATTATTCTTGTGGATTTAGTAGTGGTATTGTTCTTTTTTCAACGCTCATGATCGTTGTTTAGACTTTTCATTAATGCTTAATCACCATAAGAGGCAAACGTTCTATCAATGATCATGTCCATACTTAAGAATCAACTAAGAAATTTTTTTTCCATTGTGTTTTATATGACAATTTCTCTTTAGTGGTATCATAGTCACTTACAAAACCATTAATTATTTTTTTCTGTACTTTTTGTCTTAATTTTATTAAACATATTAAATAATAATAGATAAATTAAATATTGACATTTTGTTTTGTATAATTTGGATGTTCAATGTTGAATATGCTTAAGAATCCAATATTTATATGGTGAATCAGTCATACTTTAACCATCTATAAGTGATACAAATATGAATGATCAATTTATATATGATATAAATAATTATGGTGCAACGTAAGAGTATTTGATATACTTTTTTGTTTATTATATTTGACTGGTTATATTCAATAATGTTTTATTATATTTTTGATGATATGAACATGTTGTTTTATGACTTATGACGGTGCAAGAGTTGTGTTGTCATGAGTTAGACGATTAAGGTGTCTGATAATACTAAAGTTGTACCTTTAGGGTTTGCAAAAAGCATTAAGTGCTAATGCGAAAAAAGACACTGATTCAAAGTAAATTGTTCATTAAAATTTTATGTTGGAGCACTGCCCTCTTGACCACCATCAGCTGAATGGGCAAGGACCCCAGCTTAATGTCCATAGTGTAATCAATCACGAAATTTAATTTAATGTATTTAATTAATAGAACTTGATATTTATAATAATAATAATAATAATAATAATAATAATAATAATAATAAAAGTGTGTTTATTATTACTACCTTGTGGTAAAAAAATTATTGCCTTAGTTTTCTTTTATTTTGTATTGAGATTAATAAATATGACCATGTCATGCCTTTCTCTCAACTCTCTATATGTATCTTCTTTTCTTATATCATTCTCTCGTATGTAAAATGAGTATTCTCCTGTGACTTGAGGAAAAAATTGCTCTAAGGGCCATAACCGTATCATTTTTATTTTATATGTATGTTAATGCATGTGAATGTATGTTGATACATGTGAATGTATGTTGATACATGTGAGAGATGATTCATATGATAAATAAGCCTACGAGATTAAATTTATTACAAATTCATGCAAAACAAATATAAGTTTAAGCTTTTCAATACTTAGCACTCATCAAGACTAGTATAAAATAATGTAGATTTCTCCCACCGCGAGGTGATTGTTCTTTATTAGTAAGATGTGATGGAATAAATGTAATATTCTATTATTAAAACCTTGGGTTTAACTTTAATAAACTAACTAATGGGATACCCGTGCGTTCGTACAAGTACCGGTATAGTACGCGTATTTCAGAACAAATAAACCTGAAAGACTAAAAAGGTAGAGCTTTTATATCAGACAAATAAACAGGTTATAAGAATCTACTATCTATGTATTTCTCTAAACAGAAAAAACATTTTATACTATAATATCACTTCTAAGTATTAAATGCACAAATAAGCCATTAGAAATAGGCATAATTTATAGGTGAGACATCAATGTTACTGTGCGCAATTGAATTATAGGCATAAATTATGTTTCTTGTATCAGTGGTCACACTTTCTACAAAACCATTTGAAACTCACCACCAGATTGCTTAAGATCTTTCCACTGATTTTATCTTCAAAATTCAAAAATATTGAATCATATCTTCAATTTCAAACCAAAAAGTCAAAAATCTCAAACATAATGCAAAGAAATATATACCTGCAACATCCTGAGTATCATATGTGCCTATAAAGATAGTACCACAAGCCACGTGAGAAACAATATATCACAAATTCAATTTCGCCAATTCAATCTACATTCTTCTTTAGGCGTTTTAGACTCATTAGTATTTCTCGACCAAACCTTGCTTAAGTGCTTTTCCAATTGAGCATCCAAATTCTTAAGATCAATCCTATCATCTCTGAAAATTATATCTTTACTACTTTGATTTCCAGCACCCTTTATCTTCGAACCCGTCACACATCCTTCTCCTTCCATATCCTTCTTTGGTGTCCTGCCACCTTCAAAATCCATCTTCACCAATCACAGCTTCAAAACCAGATCTTTTCACACACAATAAAATTAAAAATCAACAGCAAAATCATGATATAAAAAAGCACCCCAAAATCATGTTCTTTGATATATCCTTCCTAGAAATTGGTGGAATTGATTCAGCCTGCGTAATTCATGAGTTACGAGAAATTCGTGGAATTAACGATAGATTCATTATTTTTATTGATATGTAACTACTAGAGTCGGTGGGGTCAGAATCATCGGTGTCATCGAAATAAATCAACTTTTGGAAATTCCAAGAAGATAATTTCACCATCTTCCAATAAATCAACTTTTGAAGGTTTGCAAACCTACGTACACATTCATTAATCCTAAATCAGAAAGAAAAAAATGGTAACAGAAAAACTCATGGTTGAAATGGGAGTACCTTAGAAGTCACGGTTGGTGAAAGAAACATAATCGTTACCGAGGGTAAGTTCAGCAGAATTGAGAATGATAAAGTGAGAATGAAATTGAAGAAAGTGAGTCTCGGTTCCATACTTGTAACCACGGTAGAACATGGGGATACTAGTAGTGAAAAGGTGAGAAGGGGAAAAGAATTGAAATGGCGGTTTTTTGTGGAGAAATTGGAATTGCAATGGATAAGGAAAAGAGTAATGATCTTTTGTAACAAATTATTTTGTTGAGCCATCATGAAGCCATGTGTCAAGTTTTGGATGAATATAGTCGATTTTCTTATATTGTATATTGTAGTTTATAATAAGATTATGTGTTTAGAAGAAAGAGTAGGTAATAATACATATGATGGATTAGAATAAGGAGTTACTTACTAATAATATCTGAGAGTTGTATTTGATACAATTTGAAGGAGTTCTTACTTAAATAATTGAGGTTTGTGTAATCATCCTACTGCTGACTTAAAACAAAGTAAAAATGAATTTCGATCCACTAGAAAATCTTCCAACTAGATTTTATGAATTAAGTATTGAGGATCATTTGATTTGAGTAAAATAATGGGAGCATGTTTGATTAAATACCAAATTGAATATATTTTTACTGATACTTATATCTTCACTATTTTTTGAAATGTAGATTACCATGTCAACAAACACATAAAATAATATTTTGCGATCAATCCATGGTAAGGAAAATTTGTCTAGGATAAATTTTCTGGATTGCCACCAAAACTAGAGAATTTTGCTCAAACATGAGAAAAAGTTGTATGTCTTAAAGACACATGTTGCCGAAGAGGAGCCTTCAAGTTCTACTCATAAGGCTGAAAGAGAGTCTTATAAAAAACATGTTGTATTAGACGATGACAACTTATCTAGAGGAGGGTGAATAAATCCCCAAAGTAAAAATTACTTTTTAAAATTTCGTTCTAAAAAATGAATGAAAAACTATGGCAAGCGAAAGATTTAGCCTAGAACAAACAAGTCGTCTAAACTGAACCGAATATTGGAAACACAGATATGTGTAATATACCTGATAGAATGCAATACAATGATAAAGACTTAATACAATAATTTCTCAATCAATGATATTAATATTATCACAATTCTAACCCATTTCCAATGAAATTATTGATAAAAATGAAAACTAGCAAATTATCAAACAATTGTTGTGGAATCAATTTTTTAGATTTTCATTTGGACTTTGTTTATATGAAATACCACTTACAATATAATTGACTGTAATTTAATTAACAAATCTGTTTCAATATAAAAATCAAAGGATTTGTTTATACGTATCAATTACGCAATTAATGAATTTAACAGTTTACTACAGAAAGTAAATGCGAGAGAGAGAGAGAGAGAGAGAGAGAGAGAGAGAGAGAGAGAGAGAGAGAGAGAGAGAGAGAGAGAGAGAGAGAGAGAGAGAGAGAAGGGGAACATAAGAATTTGCTTAGTGAGTTCACCAACCGTCCTCACTATGGCGACATATGCCTCCAATTTTGTTTGGAATTGATATAATCAATCTTACTGTGCAAAAAGTTGTTTATAAGAGAAATGTAGCAATGTGTGATACGGTGGAAGAACTGACTTGGGATTTTGCGTTTGTGTTCGCAAATGTTTCGGTTTAGCAAGAGTCGCCACCGACTTTTTATTTTATCCTAAGGAAAGGTCAAAAAAGCACAGGAAAGACCTTTGAGATGTTTTCTTTAGTTCGGGGAGTAGATTATAGAAAGGGGGGGGGGGTATTAGCACCCTTTCTATCTATGGTTATCCATGAGCTCTTAGTTACTTACTTAGATCACTTGCTTTGCATTTTTATTGTTTGAGATGGTGCTTTTCAATTGTTTGAAATGGTGCTTTGTGTGTGATTTTGAAAGATGTTTTGAAAAGAGGCCATCGTTGTGGCAACCTTTGTAATGATTCTTGTTTGAATGTATACAAAGGTGTTTTTTGTCTTTTGAAAGGTTTTCAATGTTTGAAAGTAGGGTTTTGAAATTGTGTCGTGGAGTGTGTTTTGAAAAGTAGCAAGGATGTTTTTGCAAGCTTGATCAAGTAACTAAGAGCTATCTACCATATTTTACTCAAAGATCTTTCTTATGTTTTTAACCCTTTTAACAGTGTTGTTTCACCATTGTATTTGGTGAATCAACCTTGTGTTAGGATGTTAAACGGGACAGGCGCGAGTCATCGTATAGACCATGATAGCAATTGTGTCAAGTATCTTTGGAAATTTTCTTAAGGGACTTGATCATTTTGTTTAGGCAACTCAGATAGTGTCATCGAGGGACTATGATCTTTTTGTTTGTTTTTGTTTTGCCAAAATACTTGACATGCAACCATGGCCCATTTTTGAAGGCAACAAGTGGATGGAACCCTAGGGGTGCAAGTGTGCATTGTGTTTGTTCTTCATGCATATTTATATTGGATTAGGTCAAACTAATTGTTGATTTTATTTGCATACAAACCCTAGGTCTAGGCATGTCATAATTTGAAAGCTTTTAAATATGCGGGAATTTAAATGATACACTATTACAACATAATATAGGGAGGGGGTATAAATTTGAATTGGGGATATTTGACAAGAAATTAAACTCTAGATTACTATTACAACCAAATTGAATGTACAAGATACAATATTTAAATGTACAATAATTAAATAAAAATACAACAAATAAATATTAAATAAAATGTATTATGCCAAAAAAGGTTTTTTTATGCATGTAAAGTATTTTTAGTGGAAAGAAATGTGAAGAAATATATAAAAAAAGTCAATTTAATTATTTTTGTTTTTAAGGGGAAAAACCCTAATTTCTTATAATGTATTTATTTATGTATAATAATATATTAACATGTATAAAAATGAAATATATTCAAAAAGGGTATTTTTAGTGTAAATATCAATAAAAATATAATATAATATTTTTTTGTGTTTTATTTCTAAGTATTTGATAAAAACAAAAGTATATATGTATATATAGATATATTAAATATGTAAAAAAATAAAATAAATAATTTACAAAAATAAAATATGTTCAAGAAAATGTTTTCAATGTGAAAAAAATGAGAAATGAAATAAAAGTATTATTTTCATTATTTTTAAATTTAAACAAAATAATATAAAAATATATAAAGTGTTTTAATGCTAGTAAAAATAAAAATAAATACCAAATAAATGTAAAAAAATATAAAAATATTTTTGGATTATTTTTTATGTTTGAAAATAAAATATCAAAGTCAGAAAAGAAAATAAAAATGCAAAAATATCAAAATGCAAGAAAATGGGCCAAGGGGTGTGAAACTGAAAGTGGGGGGTGCCAAAAGTAGGAAGCAGCCAGGCCCAGCCCAGCTACTTCATCTTCTTCCTCTGTCCAACAGAAACTTGAAAAAAACGCGCGCTAGCTACACCAATCTGTATCTCCTGGTTCTTTGATCTTTTAACAAAACTCAAAACATGAAACTTGTAGAGCATCAAATAACGAATTTAACCATATAAAAAACTTGGATTAACTCTCAAATACCAGAGAGAATTTCTCTGGCCCTAAATTCTAACCTAGTTTTTTCAGAAAGTTCATGAGTGAAATTCTCTCAGCACGATTAATGTAAATGAAAACTAAGCATATGTATGGCTTCAGGGCTATGAGTACAACATATTTCATTCACAAACCCAAGCCTAACCATTCCTATATAGGGAGATAGAAGTCCATGAAATACCTGTTTCAGTTGACTTCGATCTGGACAATGCAGCAACCTTCAATGGTGTTTGAGCTTCTCTTGAGCTTGCCTGAGGTCCAAGGAAGCTTCTCCAATGCTTGGCTTGATTTGAAACAACTTGAATCGTGCTGTAGAACTCAACCTGCAGAGCTTTGAAATGAAAATGTAAAAGTGTGTTAGAGGTGTTACATCTTGCAATGGGGGCCTGGGGTAGTTCATGTGAGTTGATTGGAAGGTGTTGGAACTATCTTGGGACAAAAGGCACGATGGAATTTTGTTGTGGCTTGCAAAATGCAGAACCTGCCCTATTTTGCAGAAAAACAATGATTCTGAGTATGAGGAGGTTTTAGTGATGAAAGGGTCGTTCTATAGGCTTATTGGGAGGTATGGAACTTGTTCACAAAGTTCTTGTAAGCTTGTGTTAACAGATATGAGAGATTTTTTATGTTTTGCCACTTTTCTTCTACTTGAAGCAAGAGAATGGAAATGATGTTATAGCCCCGTACAAGCCCTCCTATCATGCTGCAACTTTTGTTCTTGGTTACTGGAATTAGTGGACTTGATCTTGCCTCAAAGATCTGGCCCCCATGCCTCAAGGATTTAGTTTTGACATAAAGTGAAATTAGGCAAAAAGGGCATTGTTGCTTTTTCCTTTTAAGGCTTAAACTAGAGTATAATGCCCTAATGACCAAGACAATACCTTAATACAATGGATATGCATTAAATTAAGGAGTAAAAATTGGTTTTGAGGCCTGTAATGTTGAACCAAGCTAGCTAGATCAGAATTGCAAGTTGTTATGAACATGTATTGATCATGGACAAAAGTGAGTTTTTGCCAACTTCAAGCATTCGATT